GGTTGGTCATGGAAACGACTTCCGAAAGAGGGGGCGACACCCCGTGTGTGTTGGTCTCGAACGTGCTACGAGCTCGCAACGACTGCGTGATATCTGGCACGATTGCCTTTAGATGGCCTACCATTCTGCTACAACAGCGAATGCCTCTCGCACAGGAGCGAAGCGTGGACAGCGTAAGTGTAAGAGGGAGGGGGGGGCGAAGCAGATTTTGCTGCGGCGCGCGTAACTGCGCCAAATGCGCTTATTTGTACGCCTAGCGTCGATCCCACATCATTTGGCGTTGACAAAAATGGACGGGCTGGTGACTCATTTAAGACACCCTCAACATCACATCCGCTTGTGCCGCGGGCAAAGCCCACAGTTTGAAGATTGAGCGTGGCAGTAGCGCCTGCAAACCCGAAAGCCATGTTCCAGGAAACGCCGTCTTCGTGAAAAATCGTTCGCAGCCTCCATCGCGGATGTTTCGGAGGGATATTTGCACAACATTTATCAAGAAAAGCGTGCGAAGTCCAACTCCGCAGTCCGGCTCGAAAGTCGCAGCTTTTCAGCTCAAGCGGTTCACGAAGCGCACTTCCGCAGCCAACACAGGAGGGCCCGTTGGCCACCCGTCGCGCGAAAATCGCTCGTCAACTGGGCCCGAGAGCTTCGAAACTCCTTCCTCGGACAAACTTTGCGCATTCTGCGCGCGCTGTCGGCAAAATGCACATGGATCATCATTGCATCTTCCTTTTAGCAAACCACCCTTGCGCAAAACTTGCCCGAGAGAAACATCACCTTCGCGGGCAAATAGTCCGAAACTTCTTTTGCCCCCAGAAATCTTTGGGGGCTGAGTCCGGAAAGGGTCCATCGCTGATAAAAACGTGGAGTTGTACGTGGGCACAAACGAGGTTGGTCAACCTCCGTCATTCCTTTTTAGCTACGACGAGCATCTGCCGTTGGCCGTCACACGCGTGCGCGTACTACGAAGCTCACTTCCGGCGTCACCAACGCTTGTAGTTCGAACGCTTCCGCGCCCCTCAATGTCAAAAAACAACAGACAAAATCTGTACGGGCGTGAGCCTGTTCAATGGCTTCTGCAAGCCAGGCGCAAAATAGCCACAGCAATCTGCAGTGAAGCAGATAGCATTCGGAGCTGGTCGTGCCAGGCACCTCAGCCCCACAATGGCCAACTGCTCTTGCGCAAACATTTCAGGTCCTGAGGTTCGCGCAAGGCGAAGCTGAGCTTTTCTCGGGTCTTCGCTGCCTGCTTCAATCATCAGACTTGCAAGTTTGGCAGCTTTGTAGCAGGCCTTCATCTCCAAGTCGTTGGTCAACTTGTTCACATATTTGCCATCCTTCTTTGCGCGCCTGCCGGCGAGATGACAGCGTGGAAACCTTCCAACAGGAAGCCCGCCTTCTCGAAGTCATAGGTCTGCAGCAGCTTGCTACAGCGCTCAAGCCACGGCCGGAGCGTAGCCAAGGGTGCCAAACAGGTCTTTACCAAACAGCCCTTTACCAAGTTAAGCGGCGAGAAAAAAGCAAAAAAGAAGAGCAGCGCTTAGCAACCAAGAAAATGACTCCGCGCGCAAACCTGAGACAGCAAGTCAGGATTTCAACTCGAAGGCAATGTTGCGCCACTCCGGGCTGATAAGTGTGAAGTCACGAGCACTCACTACGCTAGAAGACGAGGAGTGACAATGAGGACGCAGAGCGCTTGGCAACATAGGTGGGCTCCACATGGCTGCCATTGATGCAAAAGTAGGGGCATCTCCAGTGGCAAGACGATGGCGTGCTTGCTGCAAGTGGGTGGCAAGTGGGTCAAGGCGCTTGTTGCCATTGAGTCGTGTAGAGTGATTGGCCCATTTTGTCAAAGACGGTGGCGTCGAAGTGTGGGAGCCTGCTTGCAGAAGAAGCGCGTCTGGGAACTTGTCCAGTTGTAGTGCTGGATCACCTCTTCGGGCGTGCTGTGGGCAGCGAGCAGCCCCGAAGACGACGACAACGATTGGGTGGTTGAAGGCTTCGCGATGATGGGTTCGCCTTGAGGTCAAAGGAGCGGCCATCTGCCGCACTGATCGTAGGAAGTGAACTGCCAGGTGTGGATGAGTCTGGAGGAGTGACCAGCACGGAGTCCGCCTTGTGGGTGGCCGATGTAGGGGGCGTGGCAGTACGGTTGCGGCTGAGAGTTGCACGTTGCAAGTGTGGAAACACTTGAGAGTGTCGTCCTCAGTGGACTTTGCGGAGATGGACTGGTGATGCTTGGAGACGAATTCCAAAACAAGGTTTGCCAAGCGCTCGTGAACCTTGATTCTGTCATCATTGCTGAGTCCCATCGACGTGGCAAGGTCCTTCTCAACACTGAGCAAGTTGAGAGGCTGAGAACGGGAGTTTAGAGCACGCGCTCCACAACAACGCCTCAGTGCGTGTTCTGAAGCCTTCCCAAGTCACAAATCGTCCGTGGGCAAACGGTCGAAGGAGCGAGTTTGAGATCAGGCGTACCTCACGAATGTTCCGTGGTGTTGGC